TATATATATAGATATATATATATATATATATATATATATATATATATATATATATATATATATATATATATATATATATATATATATATATATATATATATATATATATATATATATATATATATATATATATATATATATATATATATATATATATATATATATATATATATATATATATATATATATATATATATATATATATATATATATATATATATATATATATATATATATATATATATATATATATATATATATATATATATATATATATATATATATATATATATATATATATATATATATATATATATATATATATATATATATATATATATATATATATATATATATATATATATATATATATATATATATATATATATATATATATATATATATATATATATATATATATATATATATATATATATATATATATATATATATATATATATATATATATATATATATATATATATATATATATATATATATATATATATATATATATATATATATATATATATATATATATATATATATATATATATATATATATATATATATATATATATATATATATATATATATATATATATATATATATATATATATATATATATATATATATATATATATATATATATATATATATATATATTATATAAACATTTTTTACGACATTTAAAAAAGCTATATAAAAACATAAATGTGAAACTGACCTCAGCGGAGGTTGAAATGCTGGAATAGACAAAGATTTTCTGAGGATTGGGCACTACCATTGGCTTCTCTGGAGCAGCTGCAAGATAGAAAAAAAAATCATTAATAACTTATATGTAGTCTGAGATTTGGTTTCCTAAACTAATTACAAGCATACACACAGTGCAGTTGGCCATATAAATACCAACACACTGAAGGGGAATTCACTGAAATAATCATGACAGCTGAAAACGGCTTCTTTATACCCAGGATGCCCAGTTATAATATTCTTCTTCATCACTTAATCATTATTTTATGAATAACTGCTGCCACAATCAATAGAAATATACTATTTTACATCTGTTTTAAATAAAATCGGTTTCTGCTTTCTGAACAATAAATGAATAGTGAATATGGCAAAACATAATGAACCTAATTTGCATGAAAGACATGTTTGTGCTGAAAAGAATGATATTCAGTCGTTTAAATGAAAATACTAATGCTTCAAAATGTCATATTTAATTCAGTGATTCTTGCCTTGTCCTTTATTATAAATTATTAGTGAAATTGACTAGCAATTACCGAGATTTTTATTTTTTGCAAAAATACTGAATCAAGTATTCATACATGCATTTTACTACAACTAATTACCACATTATTTTTCATTACAGAATTAAAGTTATGAAGGTGTTACAAGTAATATCTATTATTATATTGAAATCGCTAAACAGTTGTAGAGATATATTGCATATGGATACAATGGAAAAACTGTGTTTTATAACATATTTGGGTACTCATCTGGGATTTGCTACAATATACAATATGCTATAATACACAATAATAATAATAATAATAATAATAATAATAATAATAATAATTATTATTATTATTATTATAATAATTATAATAATAATAATAATAATAATAATAATAATAATAATTATAATAATTATAATAATAAAATATATACAAAATTAATACAATAAATAAATAAATAAATAAATAACCGGACCTTTCCGGAAAATGGGTAATTCTGCATGTAAAGTCTGTATGTTTGAACAGGCCCTTTTTTGAAAATACCGATAAATTCGTTCTGGCATTTTTCCGAAAAGAGAAGTTGTAACATTACCGGTAATTTACTGGAATGCTGCGTTGTATAAACGCAGAAGGAAAATAGCCGAAAAAAGCGCGTTCACGCTTACAGTAGAACAAACTGACAATTCGAGCC